CCCCCACCCCCTTTATCTCTCCAGGGTCCAACAACATGTTTGGCACCAAAGAGGGGCCAGGAGGAATGCCCACGTTCGGCAGCCCCCACCACGACACCTGGAACAGACTTCGACGCACACCGCCATCTTTCCCCACCCCGCCACAGTGGCCCAAAAGTGCCGACGCAGAGAGAAGCAGCTCGGCCAACAGCCACGAGAGAGAGAGGGAGAGGGAACGGGAGAGAGAGAGAGAAAGGGAGAGGGAACGTGAGAAGAGAGACTCGTCTGTCGGGAAAGACGAGAAGGATAAAGACAGGTGAGTTTGAGGCAGACGTAAATGTACTTATGCTTTTAGATTATTATTTCAGATCATATCTGACAAAATGCCATTACTTGACAGTTTTCCTGCCATTTGACGCTACACTAGATGTCACTTTTGTTTTGAAGCATTAAGTGCAGAAGGTAAATCAATCACACACAAATGTAAGGGACAAAAAGTGTGAATATTTCCAGAAACATAACTAATATCACGAGGACATTTTCAGCTTGCAATAGCATCTAAACAAGATATTTTATAAATGAGTGTTCTGCACAGGTAGTATGAGGAAAACAAAGCACTTTTTGAACCATAAAGGAAGTAAACATGTCACTGTAGAGACAAAATACAAATGTGAACCTGAAGGTGAGCCAATCCTTCTGTTTTTTTGTCTTATCCCTGGAAAATTCAACAAATGAAATTGATGTATCCAAAACAAAAACGGGTAACAAGCAGCTCTGAGAGAAATTGTCAAAAATACATTTGATGGGAATTTGTGAAAATCTACCAAACATTAAGTTAAAGTTAAGACCGTAGACAAGAGCATCGTCACCTAGATGTTTTTAAGGATAATAATAATTAAGCAATAGCTCACGACAGGCCGTGGTATATGCTCATTATATCACAGCTAAGGGGCGTGGTTCGGCCCGATGCGAAGCAGGCAGTTTGCTTTTCAGCCCAACGGTATACTGTTTTTCTCAGACGCGGAGGGATACTGACTTGTTGTGAAAAGTAACTTACAATTCTACCCGTGGTATACGCTCAGTATATCACGGCTAAGAACCAATCAGATTGCTTGATTTGACTTGCCCGTTTTATAATAACGGATAAATCATTTTTGGAAAAGTATCTTAACTAAAGTATCTGACTACTTTTAAATCCAGGCTGAAGACTTTTCTTTTTGCCACTGCTTTTAATTGATATATTCATATCTCACACTGCACTGTAACTTTCATTCATGTACCTGTGTTATTCGTGTTTCATTATCTTTGCTTTTAAATGAGTGTTTTTAAATGCCATTTTATAATAAGTTACTTTATGCTCTTAATGTCTTTCATTTTTGTAAAGCACTTTGAATTGCCTTGTGTTGAAAGTGGCTCTATAAATAAACTTGCCTTAATACATGATGTCCTTGCAGGGATTCTGTGGACCGTAATCGCCACTCCAACCGTTCGTCTCCGGCCTCGGCGCCGGTCAGCTACCAGATCAGCAACCTGATCCGCTCCAACAGCCAGAACTCCTGTGACTCGGGTCGACATCACAGCGGCAGCGTGGACCGGGTCCGTGAGGCGGAGAAGGAGCTGCTGGAGCGCCACAGAGAGTCTTCCTCGCAGGGCGACGTGAAGGTGAAGGAGAGCCGCTCGCCGGGCAAGGAAATGCTGGAGAGGAGATCTTCAGAGGACTCCATCAAACCCGCTCAACGATCTCCGTCCCCTTACTCAAAGGCGGTGATCAACGAGCAGGGCATGAAGATGGCAGGTGGGCCCCCGCCTACGCTCAAGGACAGCGACAGGAAGGAGCCCCCGATAGAGCTCCTCCACAAGGTGAAAAATGACATGAAGATTAAGGAGGAGAGGAAGGAGGAGCAGGAGGTCGTGGTGGTGAGTTCTGAGCCCCCACCTCAACCCCAAACTCTTCCTCCTCAAATGGGCCAGTCTATGAACCCTCACCACCACCACCCGCCGTTATCCCACCAGGCCCCTCTCCCCTTACATCGAGGCAGTGACATTCCAGTTCAAGGCATGCACGGCGTCCCCATGGCTCACTCGCTGCCTCTCTCCATGGGGGGCATGCCTCAGATGGGCAGCCTTAATGTGCTCGATCGGGCTCGTATGGCTCCCTTTATGGGTGTGAGCCCTATGGCGGGAAGGGAACGCCTCCCGCACCAGTCCTTCCCATGGGACCCGCTCCGAGAGGCGTACCGCAGCCTGGACCTGCAGCGGCGCATGGACTTCCAGCTCAGGGCGGAGCAGGGACACCGCTTCCCCAGCATGTACGAGCAGGAGCGAGCGTACCGCGAGAGGGAGGCGCACGACTACTCCCACCACGAGCACCTGTTGGAGGTACGGCGAGAGCACGAGAGGATGAGGCAGCAGGTGGAGGAGCGAGAGCGCATCCATCTGAGGGAGGAGCTGGACAGAGCGCGCCTCCATCAGCTGCACCAGTCCCCCATGGAGGGCCATCTACCCCACATGGCCCCTTTTATGCCCCACCTAGGCGGCATGCCCTACCCTAGACTCAGCCCCTCCACGGGACACAACGGCCCCATGAACAGGACACCCCCTACAGCCGCTTTAAGCGCACCTCCACCCCTTGTGCCAGCTGGTAGTGCCAGGCCAGTCTCACCCAGGAGGACTACCCCCCTCACCTCCACCCAGGACCCCCGGGACTACTCCCCGTCTCGCAACCCCAAAGAGGTAGAGGCTCGGTAGCTTCTTAGAAAGTCTTTCAGCCCCCTAATCTGAACTCCGATAGTGAACAAAATGCACTGCTCTTCACCAGGAGAGAGCAAACCTCCCTAAGGGAAAGAGTATGATTGTACAAAGTAAAGGTGTGTAAGGCTGATTAAGCACATGCCATGACTTTATTTTTAACGGACTGGAGGTCGAACAATGTCGGTAAAGAGAACATAAATATGTGTATGTTTATATCCGGCTTAAATATTTGATAATTATTAATATATTAATCAAATACCTTTTTTCAGCTTTGTGCGAAAAGAGAGGTCCTGAAATGAGTTTGTACATTTCCTATCCGTGTTCCATGTATAGATATCATTTCTATGAATTGTATGTATTTTGTGCATTACGCCTTTTACAATATTTATCCCAGTTGATTGTGAGACATATCCATTATGACCCACTGTAAAGACTGGACTTCATTTCAACTTTCAGTTATTTAACCTCATGGTACCAGGATATCCTCAATGATGAAAATGTACAAAGTTACATTACGGATTTTTGTTTTGTTCAATTGTTTTGCCTTTGAGATATGCAGATAAATATATATTATGAGGTCTTTGTTCAGTCTCTGTAAAGAAAACTGATGTAAATAACCTGTTGATATTTCTTCGCTGCAAAATGACCGTGTACATTTATTAGTCTTTTTAACCATTTCTAGAAAAATGAAATGAAATGAAACATGGGGGATCACGTCCCTGTTGGATATCATGGAAACAGACAAGCCTGGCCAATGGGTGATTGACTGGAGGGTGTTGTAAGGGGGCCTAGAAGGATCATCTGCAATCTATGCAAAGCAGCACACAGCACCCTTATGAACCCGGACGGAGCGGACGATACGAGAGACACTTGGATTAACACATGTTTATAGAAAAATGATGGAATTATGAAAAGACTTCCAAGTCAAAAACTGGACCAGCCCCGGACAGAAAAGAAGGACACTTTTTCGAGTGGGCGGCAAAACGGACTTTCTCTGTCAACCTTGTGGTGTTGTGCAGTTGTTTTTCTTAGACTCTTGTATACAAAACAAGTAGAGTTTTAGGCGTGCAAAAAAATGAAAATGAACATTCTTGGTTTAAAATGTACGGAATAAAGTTTGGACCTAATGTCATACATTTGTTTCTTGGTTCCTTATCCATTGTCAGTGCCGACTACGAGTACTGGATTTGTCTTTGAGCCAAACCGACTGAGGGGAATGTTGATGTGAGGTTGATAGGTTTGCCAATAACGCTTGTGCCTCAGTTTTCAGCATTTAGAGTATTTGCTCATCTGATATCAAGCCATTATTTTGAAAGCATAAAGGCAACAGGCTTGGCCGGCAGAGTAGCCTGAGCCATAAGATCATTTGACCATAATCTGTCATACATGGGCTGCACAGCTCTTCAGAGGGGGATCGATGAGATTGGGCCAAGGCAATACGTGGAGGGACTAATAGGAGATTGATTTTGTATGAAAGCAGGTTTTGAGTGTTTGTGTTGCAGGTAACCGGTATTGACTGGCAGCCCAGCCGCATATTGACCCGCGGTCTGGACTCATTAAGAGGAGCAATGCCTGGGAGGCAGGCTATCGGATGGAGGAGGATCGGCCTCATGCTCACCACTCATCTGCTTTTCTAATGAGGCCGGATGGCACTCTGGAGTGGGCCGTGCAGGGATCCCTGAGGCGCCCCGTCCTGTTATTGACAAGAGCTCGGCTGTGCTCTCCGCCTGTCCAGAGACGGCCAATTCATCCTGTTAATGCCCTCACTACTCATCTGGCTGCTGTGTGCTGTAAGACCAACCGATCCTGTCCCATGGTATCAGCCCGTAATGACAGCGTGGATCAAACCGTGGCCAGGTCATTAGGGGATGTTATTGAAAATCAATGGCGCTCCTGTGTCTCACACACTCTGGCAGGGTTTTTTTCTTAAAAGGGCTCCTTGAAAAGGCTGTTTTCCAGAATGGGCCTGGCGTATTGGGAAGACTTAAATCACTATCACTTTCAATTTAGAGCAACTGGTAATAGAGCCGCATATTCCTCCGCCGGGTAGCATCTGTCAGTGGCCAGCTTCACTTTGGCCCTGTGTGCTTTTAGTTCTAATCATCTAGTCAACAGCAGGTACTTAACCCCTGTATTCGTTACGGCATAGTGATTTTTCCTGTAACTATTATTTACCAAGCAAGCTTTGGAAGAAGAAAAACACACCTTACGTTTTCCCCCGACTCAATCACTCTGTCCTGTGCTCTATCCATTTTACGACTGAGTGTGGAACGGCCCTCCGGAGATGAAAAGCTCCATCAATTTCACTCATCGTCTGGCAAGGTCAATTTATTTCAGCACACAGTCCATCATCAGATTGGGAATCAATTGACACTTCGCCTAGCATATCCAACCCAAGGTGGATTATTATGGCTTCTGCAATTGTCAGCTCTTGTCCAACGCTATTCTTCACATGTCAAGGCTTTTTTCTTTTCTCTGCTTGATGCTGCGATTTTTTCATGATTTTCTATATTTACTTCCACAATTTTGAAACACATTTCCTATTTGAAGGCACGTTGTTACAATGACAGGGCTTCATGCAGCAGCTTGACTGTGATACAAGATTGTGTTTTTTAATGCATTTCTCCACTGTAATCCCAATTAATAGGATATGGTGGTATCTGAGGTAAGACATTGTTTGATTGTTCCACTAATCCTCTGCATTTATCTGTGAGAAACCTCAATGCCGAGGGTTTAGGATTGAATTTTCATGGTCTCAAATACCTCCAAAAAACTGCATGGCACGAAGCTCACCCCAGATTCAGCGAACACTGGAACAGGCCTAAGGGGCTTTTATAGAGCACAATGGCAGCTAATAACACAGTGCCAAGCTAATAAGATGGGCAACAAATGAATGGTTTGGTCCAGGCTCCCTTTCCCCCTTGCTCACTCATCCCCCCGCTGATAAAACATGTATGAAAGCGTTTTTGAGCCGCTATGTAGTGGCTCCCTAGACTTTTCCCCTAGCGAGAGCTAATGCATTAGTTCCCATTTGAAGGCTGTTTTGAAATGGAGATTGGTAATGAGACGGTAGGCCCCTGCCATGATCACATTTGGATTGCTGGGGCCTCCGCCGGGCCTGGTGATCTGGGAGAACGATGGCTCTGCTCTGAGTTCAAGCCCATCTCTCTGCAGGGGTTAGCAAGCCCTGACGAGAGCCATGCTAAACCACTAAACTATATCTGAACTGTGGACTGCGAGAGGGAGCAGCGAGTCAAGGGCTTTGGCTGTGGATTCCTGTCGCGGTGCTCTCTTTGTAGCCTGCGTGTTGTTTGACCACCTAAAAAGGCTACTAGCATACATCCCTTCCATGTTGGCTATCTTTTTTTAGCCCTCAATGTCAACAGAGCAGCAGCTGACGGAAACCAGGCCAGTCAGCGGTTAAGGAGCTGACTTGGAAACAGCCGAATGGTGTGAATTCCAGACCCCTGGTGACAAAGTGCTGTCTAATGTCTTTGCACCTCTGGACCTATGACAAACATCCCGGCTGTCTCACACACCAGCCCCGCTATGGCTGTAGAAGGAGCTTTGGAGAAGGAGAATCACTCACAGAGGAGCCTGGTGTGAGACAGGGAGGAGTGGAAGAGAATTAAGGGAGATGGAAAAGAAGGCAGCCAAAATAAGTTTTCCACTTTGATTCAATTTTGAGGATTTTTCCAGCCTTTAGTGGAACCTCACAATCTCCCACACTGGCCATATTATGTACACAAGCCATAAAAAATGAATAACATTTATGCAGCTGGGTGCATCTGGCAGCGATAGTCCTCTCATTCAGGGACCCACAGGATGGCACTGTGCCGCCACACCACCCTCTCTGTGCTATGTATGGGCACTAGACAAGAGAAGACTTAGGGGAGGGGTGGGTGGTGTAAAGGGAGCCTCTCAAATGCTTCCAATGAGTTTAAAAAAACAAGAGATTTCAAGGCAAATGGAGGCCATACGTGGCCTGTCCAATTTGGCACGGCCAACGCACATGATTAGCCGTAGAGACGTTAATCAAAAGTGGCTCAGTATTTGAAGGGGCGGTGAGAGGCACTGCCAGCTGGTGACAACATGGCTTGTGTGCACGGGCCAAGAGTGAAGTTTATTTGAATATGGATCTTGCCGTGACCGTATTTCTCCAGAGCTCAGTTAGCAGAGCGTTCTTTGGCTCATCACTGGGATCGCCTCAGAGCCGCTTGGCACCCGGAAAGGCGGAAGTTTTTCCAAGCCGCAGAATGAGAATTACGATTTAGTCCATCCCCTCTGGTGGTTCGGGCATATTCATAAGTATTTATTCAGTTCGACGCTGGCAGAGACACAACACCTAGATCCTGGCGTCCATGTGTTAGGGTTTCCTTTCCAAATATGAAGTTATGAAATCGACAAAAAGCTTGTTTTCACAGAGTATGAATTAATAACACATTTTTAAATTAAATAAATATATCTTTCCACATAAAACCATGCTAGCCCTCTACTGAAAATAAAGAGCTTAAATATTAAACTTCCTTAAGGCCAGGGTTCAGTTTGGACTGAGACCACCAGTAGAGTCTCTGGAAAAAGACCAGCAGTACTCCAGACCATCAACAGCATCTGTATTGAGCTCTGATGAGGGTGGTTTCTGTTTGGTTGAATACATTGCACACTGATTGAGATGTGTATTTTGGTTAATGGGTTTAGGCTACGTTTTGGTTGGCCGTAGATTTACAGTTACTTTTACTATTAGGAATCCTTATTAAAAATGTTCCGGATAGGCCTCTAATGCTCCGGATGTTAACTCCACATCACCTGAAATCAGATCATGTAGCACCATAACAAGCATAGTTAAAAAAATTAGTACTTTTTGAACAAAAAAAGCATGCTTATTACCGTTACTCAATTGTTGGATCGGCACGAAATTAGGAAAGTGAAAAAATTATTCAAACAAATATATTGCCTTTCTTAAAGAGTCCGTATTAAGTTGCCTCCAAAGTGAATTTCTCTCCCACACAGACAGAGGGTGAAAAGAGGTACTACAGCACAGACAGTATGAGAACAATACAGAGCTTTGTGAACATTAAAGCAAGGAGACATGTCCCAGTAGAGACACGACATACAAATATGAACCTGAAAATGAGTCTCTTTCCAGCTAATTTCTGTTTTTATGTAACTCATTTTGATGTTGTCCTCAAGAGTTCTCTAAACTTGATTTTCATTTCGATCATTTCTGTTAAAAATGTCATAGTAACGCGCACAGACGGCACAGTGAAACATGTGTTGAAACTATGCTTATGTTGCTTACACTTCGATCCGATTAATCAAATTCCAAGCAGCTTTTAAAGGCTTAGGTTGTCCACAATTAATTATGGCTGAAGAGCGCCAGCATTTCCACTTATAATATCTCAGAGAATACTTTTCCATTATGCCAAAAGCAATACAATTGTAAGCCCCACATTAATCATATGAGCTAGATAAGCAACAGGTTCCTTTAATTCATTATTTTTCAGAGTTCATATAACCCCAAATTACTTGTTTTTATGTTTAATATTGTGGGCACAGAACATTCTTCAGAATCGGAGACCCTTAGATGAAAAATGTTGTACCTTTGAAAATAGGAAATGGAAATGCAGCTCAAATACTCAGATGGCCAGCCAAGGTATGTCAACCTGCAGGTTAGACAGTAGCAACAAATCATACATCTGGGTCTAAAAACCAACAATGCCATTGGTAAAGTTATTTCTGTCTGAAAGAGTGCAATCATAGGGAAGACACTGTTAAAGCAGTTCACATGCTAATTATGAAACAATTAAAATAATGCACAAATATAATAAATAGGTTTTTATTCTATTGTTTTCTGTTCAACTTTGTATTAAGTCACTCAACACCCTAGTGTGAGGTCATTCTCTTGATGCATATTGGATTATTATTGCTTCAGCACAGAAGATCCACACTGCAGGGCACAGACTGCATTCATGTCATCAACAAGTTATAACCCTCACTCACAAAAATTCCAAAGAAGGCGGAAATAACAAGGTGAAAAAGGGCAGCAGGATCATATTCCCCATTAGACCGACTGAGACGGCGCTTCTCAGCATTCCAGGCCCGCCTCCTGTGATTCTTTGGAAATGTGTCTGG